CATGAAAATTGTTTTATAATACCGCACCCGAAGGAAATATATGGTACACACTAATATCTGGAACCAATCTTTCTGGACCGTTGCCAAAATCCGGAAAACTATTTCCACCAATCCCACAGTTGTTATCACCCTCAACGTTTTGCCCAAAATTTTATCTTGGAAATAAAATAATCTACAGTACGTTCGGTAGTTGAAGCCTTGTTATCTTGAAACCAAAACTGCTATTTTAAATAAACTTCATTTTTTTCATTTACAAACATAAATTTTAATCATGAACGTATTTAAATGAAGACTATTGATACCATCATGTTTAATATTCATGTTTGCTATAGACTAACCGATCTTTTAATTAATGGATGCTTCTAGAATAGGGGAGTCTGGTGTTAAAACGATTCCCTCAAATGAAGTGACGTTACATCACTTTAACAGCTACCACCTATAGCTACGTACGGTGTGGTGTATTCACCGGCCACCCTGCACAGCCATCTTTGCCCTCCATTCAGGAGAGCTTATCGAATCTAAGTTGTATGTCTTTATTGTTTTTTACAGATCGCCCACTTCACTAAACTTAGCGTTTTTAGGTTCCATACTGACATGGTTCCCTCGTGTGTGACATTGTTCCTAATTATCCCAATTAAAGGCCAAGGGTGGGGCATAAAAGGGAGACAACCCAGGAAAATGGAGGAAATACAATATATTGCATAGAGATCGCTATTATTACGTTAACACAAACAGACACGCCCCTTTTTGTTGCACAGCATTAGTTACGTTACCACTTCTTTAAATCGGAATAATTCATCAGTACGGATTAAGATTACTTATATTGAAGAAGAAGATTATTTCTATGTGCTGGAAACAATCCTTACTTACTACTTATTGCGATTTGTTTTAGTTCAATAGCGCCAAAAAAAAAAAGTTGGAGAAAAATCTTTCCTTTCCGGAGCATATAGTTTCGTCGTCCTGTTTTGGGGTACTAATGGTGTCTTTCCTTTTTTGGGGGTTGCTATTTCATTTCTGCATAATATATTTACCTTCATCAAACCTTATGTCGTTATGATTTGATAATAATTTCCTTCGTTATACCTCCCAGGAGGTATCCCCAAGGAAAAATTCTCCCTTATACTCTTTGCTCCGCTTAATAAATCGTTTGTATTTAATATGCTGATCTTTTCCCCTTTGTCTTTTGTAGTTTTTCAATTATTAATTTTCTTTTGCAAAAGCTTTTCCATTATCAAATATATATATATATATATATATATATATAAAAAA